GGGAAAGATGGTTTTCCAAATGGGTACCCAAGACTTTAGGGCACGGTATACTTCGCGGTATCCCACACCGACGAAGGGGTTTTTCTTTGGGAACCCCAACCGGAGCCTTTGACTCAAAAGTCTGACCCACAAGGCAGTGGGGCATAAATTCAACGCGGGAGCGTGAACGAAGCACCCGTGTGAGAGCTTCTAGAGACCTGTCGCGCAAGGCCTTTGAATTTCGATTAATTGTGTTGTTCACTGGTGCGTTGATTTTCGGTCTGCTTTTCGGGATCAGCCCTTAGCCCCATTAGTATTGACGTGGTATCGAGCGGGACTATAGTGAAGCGGCCTACCACCAAAGTTGGTTGGTGGGATGTTTCGAACCTCGAACTCAAGGACTCAAAGCACGCCGGTTATAGCTGTAGGGTATCGCAAAAAGTCGAATAATCTGCCCTAATTCCATGTTCCTCTTTTCCTTGTTTTGCAGAATCAGGGGACTCCGTTCGGCAGGAGAACACGAATGACGCTAACCAGGAGTAAAGGAGTCTACCCGAAGAGCTTTTGTTTTGTTCGATACCTTCTGTGCTCTCTTCCCTTCACTAACGCACCAGAATTGACTTACCTGAGCTTCCGTCCTCCCCACGTTGTCCTTCAGTATGTACAGTTTACTCCGTTGGGTTCCACTAATATACGCATTAACTCACATCCTTGCCACCTTTCTCCTTCTGTAATATCTCACGACTAAATGTTGGATTTCGTGAATGTGTTCTCGGTGACTGGCTTCTGTGAGATAGACTCCTGAACGCGGATTTAAACAGTTGTTGCCGGTGCTTCGTATAATCTGATCCTATTGCAGGTTCATTGCGGAGCTGTTCATGGCTATCGAAACTGTCACCTCTACTAGGGTTTTAGCCGTCTCTCAGAAATCCTACACAAAAACTAAAAAACCCATTACGCATGTGCATGTAAACCCAAATAATTTTCTTTTCACTCACTTTTAGACGGTTTTTGGAGGCGGCATAGTGGAGCGGACACTGACCGGTACTATTGATCACATTCACATCGGCTTGTACCTCGTCGATAAGATATTCGACCACAGAATTCCGACCTGCGGACACGGCGATCATCAGTGGAGTCCATTGAGACTAGAAACAAAGAACATAGTCAACGCGAATGGAAGAACGTACTCTGTCGTTAAATTTCGGACAAAACGAGCGAATTAGGCAACACGTATAACAAACTGCATTAGGAACCAGATTACAGATAATGTCTTTGTGAGCCTCTATTTCCGGAGCTTATCAGAAAATTTTGAATGAAAGAATTCATTGCCACGAAACGAAGACATTTATTGGTCAAACGTGATCTTTCATGCAACTATGAATGGAAACCTTAATTAATGTTTTCCATAACAAAAGCGAAGACTCCCCCCCCAACTCCAATCGGAAAATCAGAAGGAAGTCCAGTAAAAGTAGGGAAAAAGGTCGAATCATATCAGGAATTTATTAAATTAAGAAAATATACTCCAAATGAACCCTGCTGCTCTGTGTACGAATCACTGTATCAATCTAGTGGGATGAAACGATAAGTGATGCAGAGCTCAGGAATTCCGATCACACAATATCGCAATTGTTTGATCACCACAGGCAGCGACAACCGAGGCATGGCCACGCATATCGCCCGATAGGCTATCTCGACACGCGATGTTTGTAAGGAAGGTAGTAGCTGGAAGAAGCCACGGGTAGTCAGACCTTGAGTCAGAGTCAGTTTATACAATTATTTACCAGTTTCAGTAAAGATCAGCTTTGCATCCATTAATCACGCCCATTCAAGTGCCGTTTTTCATTGCTTTCTCTTGACTGCCCATTTGGATAAACAAGCAGAAGGAAGAATGGAATGTTTCGAGCAGAGTCAAAGAGAAGATAAGAGAATTCATAGGGACTAAGGTTGCAAGGATAATAATTAGATGCACGAATGCCACTGTTTTTGACACTGAGTCAAAGGCAGCTTTCAGATCGAGGAAAACTAAAATGGTGGGTCCAGGAAAGGTGTTGACGTTCCAGAAGTTGGAAAGAGTGAAAATGTGGTCGAAATAACGTCAACCAAGTCTAAAACTAACTAGATTCTCAAGGGTGCATTGTTCAGGTGCGGTAAACAATAGACGGAGTATGATGCCAGTGAGAAGTTTAGAGGCAATGTTGAGTAAACTACTTCCGATTCACATCATTCAATCGGAACTTTTCCCTCTCCAAAAGTTTCGTCAACACCAAGACCACGGCTAAAACATCATCTTTAAAAGCTGATGCGGACAGAGCGTCCGAGTCGGAGACCTTCTAACTGGTTGAAATAACTCATTGCCGGCTAACTCCATTTCAGACGGAGGCCTGATAGCAAATGGTACCAATCGCACAGTCGGCTGATTCATTCTTCATATAACTGGTTCATATTCAGGAACGTCGTCTGGAACGTTGGGCAAAACATTTCAAGGCACGGTTCAGCTAGCCCCGTCGACACAAACCTTCCCTGTACCCCTTTCAACCGTGCGAATACTGCCAGTTGACATCAGTCCTCCATCTGAAATGGAGCTTACCCGGGAAATAAGTCACCTCAAACGGCATAAGGCTTCCAGCCCCGACTGGCTGTCGCTATCGATTTTCAAGGATGGAGGTCCAGCGTTGATTTTGGAGCTAACAAAACTCCTAGGTTCAGTGTGGGAAAAGGAACAGGTTCCAACTGAATGGTGTAAGTCGGTGATCATACCGATTTACAAGAAGGGCGACAGATCCTCTTGTGAAAACTACGGAAGAATTAGTTTAATCAACCTTGCCTCTAAACTACTTACCGGCATCATACCCTGTCGATTCTCTGCCGCACGTGAAGAGTGCACACGTGAAAACCAGGCTTGTTTTAGATCTGGTCAAGGTTGTATCGACCACATATTCACTCTTCGCCAAATTCTGGAACACAAACACTCCTTTCGTAGAACCCCAATTTCCTTTTCCCTCGATCTAAAAGCGACTTTCGACTCAGTCGACCACTCCAAACTCTGGCGCTGCCTTGCTCTAAACGATGTGCCCGAGAAGTTTATTTCTATCTTACAATCAATCCCTTTATACCAATAGCCGAAGCTGAGTCCGAGCTTACGGCACTTTCTCACTCAAGTTCACCACAGAAAGTGGCGTTCGACAGGGTTGTCCTCTCTCTTCGATTCGATTTAACTTTGTCATACATTTAATTCTTCAAACAGCCCTATCCTCCTGCGAGGATAGCGGCATCGATTTACTCCCGGATGACAGACTGTCTCATCTAGAGTATGCAGACGACACTGTGCTACCCAGTGAAGACTCAGGTAAGTTGCAAGCTTTTCTGGATAGTTTGAGTGCTAGTGTAGCCATATTCGGTATGCGTTTTGCACCTTCAAAGTGAAAACTGTTGCTCCAAGATCGGGTTGGTCCAGCACCCAATCTCAACCCGACTGGGGAAGTAGTAGAGGAAGTAGACAAATTTTGCTATCTGGGCAGCTATATCTCACCTGACGGACGCATCACAGATGAAGTGTCGACGCGCATACAAAAGGTTCGGTTGACATTTGCCAACTTGAGACATCTGTGGCGCCGGATGTCAATGCAGGGTCGAGTGTATGCTACAGCAGTTCGGACAGTTCTGCTTTACGGTGCAGAGACTTGGCCTCTACGGGAACAGGACAAAAATAGATTATCGGTGTTCAAACACCGCTCTTGACGTCGCATTGCTTGAATCTGGTGGGGTAACCGGACGAGCAATGCTGAGGTTAGGCGTAGAGTTAGTTTTAGGTAACTGCGGTCGTCCACTGGGGCAAGTGATCGACCTCTATAGATTACTTTGTTTGGGGCATGTGTTACGCATGTCACCAGATAGTTTGCCAAGGCGAGCGATGTTTGCCCAGACTGGTAGCGGTTGGAGAAAGATCAATGGCGGTCAAACTAAGACCTAGCATCAGGGTATGGAAACCCTAACCAGGAGACTAGGTCACATAGGTCCTGTTAGGCTTCCTGGCTGGGGACCTCGGGATGATGGTCACCAATGGTTAGCTGCACTGAGTGATATGGCTGAGTTTTGCAAACCGTTGCGTTCGTGCATCCACTCATCATTCCCCTATCACTATTCTATATGAATTCTCCATCTTCCGCTTGAATTTGCTTCAACATTCCAATCTTCATTCTGCTCTTATATCCAAATGTGGCACCAAAAGACAACAGCCAAAACCGGCGCACGAGTGCATAGTTAATGGTTGTAAACACTGAAACTGAATCCGCCCAGTTGTAGGTGATAGGTGGCTCTGCCATCACCCAGCTCACTACCGCGCCTGATCTATCGAAGCTTTATGTGGTACGCCACTCCAAATTTCAGGAGCATGGTTGCCAGTTTTCTCACAACATAAACATGACAGTACAAAATCCCAAATTCTCACGTTCTTTCGCTTGGTGTCCGCTTTCACATTGGAATCATGCACTCATCACAATCACCAACGTTCGCGGACTGAACCGCAATATTTATTCTGTACATCATATCCTCCACTCGTCCTGTTTTGACTGAAACACAAATCTCCCCCTCGTCAGACACCAACCACCTTCAATTCCCCAACTACACTCTCCACTTCTCCTTTCTACCCAGAGCTGGTTTCTGCGCCTTTATTCACCCATTAGTAGCCGACTCGAGAATCCCAAAGCTTGAATTTTCCAAACATGAGCTTCAGCTGATATAGCTGAAACTCAGACTTCCTTCCTTTAACCATTACTTTTGTGTTCAGTATCGTTCCCCCAACAGTGGCGCCTGTTTCATCTTTGATTTTCTATCTTCGAACATAGCAACCGGCCCCAACTGCCATGCTACCATCTTGGGAGATTTTAACATTTACAGTTAAGAATGGTTGACACACTCATCTGCTACTTCTTCTTTGGGGCGCGAAGCCAAACACTTCGCTTTGGTCAACAAACTGAGCCAACTAGTTGACCTCCACGTGTTTCTGGTCGAGCTGGCGATCATGCCCACACTCTCGATCTAATTCTCACTTAGATCTCCTCTTTCTTCTTAGATATTGGTACCCTCTTAGCTCATCGGATCACTGTATTGTTTCCCGTTCTGTTAGACTTTTAAACCCCGAGCCACCAGCCAACTCGAGACACATTCTGGCGTTACAACTCAACCAACTGGGACAATTTCCGTGATTTCCTAACTGCTTATCCCTAAAACGACTGTTGTTTTCCTTAGGATGTTTCCAAATCTGTTTCCAACTTCACCGGCGTTGTTCTTCACGGTATGCATCTTTTTATTCCGCATTTTTCTAAACTCGGCAAACCAAAATCCTCTGAGTGGTTTAACCATGCATCTGACCGCGCTGTACACCTAAAACGTTCAGTCTTCCGCCGCCGGCGCCGCTCGTCCACCCCTATCTCCCACCATGGCTTCGTGCAAGCTAGGAACAGATACTCGACGATCATTCAGAGAACTAAAGAACACTTCGTTCGCCGTAAAGTCGAAAATTTGATCTCGTCCACCACCGGGAACCGAACATCTAGGCCCCTTGTTAAAGCAATTTCCTGTAATTTCTGACCTTCCAACTTCCCTCTATCTGTAATTCTTATGATCTGAGGTTTTCCCTTCCCAGTTTGCCGCCAATTCAACCTTACCCCATTGTTCCACACCACCTTCCATCATCACTGGCAACCCCTTTCTATCTCACATTAGCACCAGGAAAATCTGCCAAACATTACGCTCTATAAACGCAAACAAACCACCCGATCCGGACGGTATTCCACTCATCGCCCTTAAGATGTGTGCGCCCGAGCTGGCTACTATTTAACGTCGTCTTTTCAGTCTTTCCCTTCAACTTTCTACCTTTGCAACCCCTGGAAACACGCCGTGATTTTTCCCATTCACGAACACGGCGACTTTTCGAAACCCAACAATTACCGACCCGTTTCCCTCACATCTGTTCTATTGAAAGTATTTGAAACCATAATTTCTGACCAGCTGCGCACGTTCCTGCGTATCCGATATTATGTGGGTCGATTGATTGTAGACCTCTTTTGATCTCTGGCCTCTTTGTGTCTTTGAACGCGACACGTCTTATTTGTGAAAACCCATTGTTTGATGACTGACCGAAAGC